TTTTTAGGATAAGATTTCCGATATTGTCAGGCCCACATGCTTTACTGGTATCAAGCAGGGCTTCTTTTTTTAGTTTTATGAGGCCGCTTAGATTGTTTGTTTTTCTGGTCGATTTTACGTTTTATTATGGAAATAACTTTTATTTGGTATGATGTACTACTAGACACCCAAGGGGGAAGGTTCTTTCTGTGGCTTATTACTCTGGGGACAATTTTTTCAATGATCTTGCAAAGCCAGTTATGCCATTGTTTTACAAGTTCGTCAACATTACTATATTAGTACGAAAGAAATTGTTTATCTAATATACTTTTATTTATTGAATTCCAATCGGCTTTATGGAACGCAAACCGTTCATTTTCTATTGTTATGATTACTTCCGTTTTAGTGTGAATCGTTATAGTGTATGCTAAGTGATCGGATCTGTATGACTTGTTGAATTCGTTTTGCGTGGTGTAGTTCAGTAAGACTTTTGAATTAATTGTCAAAATTATGACTGACTGTTTTTTATTGTTTTGGGATAAACACATTCCTCAAAGTAATTTTGGGAGAGAAGATTAAGGACATTCAGCTCGTAGCTGTCATTCGAGTCCATTGCCTCCCAATTCGCGATTACAAGTTTATGTCGCCTGTTATGACTAAACTATTATAATTTTCGTTTTCGCTAATCGCTATAAGTTCATTTATTAGATCGAGGATTCGTTGTTGACAAATTCGATACGGACTTTTTTCAGGAGCGTTGTATATACAGCATACTATGATTGATTCAGTTTTGGGGGTTAATTTAACTGCAAAACATTCACATTGTGTTTTTATGCAGAGCGGTTTATGTGGAATATCTCTGACACCAATTAGCACACCGCCGTGTTTAGTCCTATGGTCATGTGTTGGTCTGTCGGTTCGATATATGTCGCAGAAACCGACTTGTGCCCTCATATGCGGTAAGAATAATTTTGAAGCTCGAAACTAGTATAACAGACTAAAACACGAAGTCTCAAACAGTTGGGCAATGTTTTGCGAATGAGAGAAGACGAAATTCCCAATGCCGCTCTCGAATTTATAAAAGCAGATTCGTGGAAACGAGCACCAGATGGAGCAAATTCTTACTAGGTTCGCAACTTCGTCAAATACGACCAGAACAAAAAGCCACCAAGTATGTCCGCCAAGAGATTGGATGAGTGCTGATTTGACATCTGCAGAGAGAGCGCGCTGGACCGAGAACAAAGGCATGGTAACGTTCGGGATGTTCAGAAGGCGGGCAATGGACAGTGATGTATGCAAACGCCCTTCAAGTGACATCGTTAGAAGGATGGACAGGTGGAGATATTGATATATGCATGGGTGGCAGAGTGGATGAACGAATGGATCGGTGATGGCTGGTTGGGATGATGGATGGCTTTAGTGATAACTGGATCCATGCATGGCTGGTTAAATGGATGAATGGTTGGTTGGATGGTTTTATGGCTGACTAGATGAAAGGCTTATTGGATGGATGGCTTGTTGAATGGATCGAACTTTGGCTAAATGGATGGATGGCTGGTCGAATGTCTGATTGAAATGGCGACTAATAGGATAGATGGCTAGATGAATAGACTGATGGCGGGTGGATTGTACGGCTACAGAGATGAAATGATGGGTGAATCGTAGTAGTAGGTCAGTCTTTAGAGCTCTTGGCTCAAGGGTTTGCACCCCACAGTTTTGGTCACTATTTTCTGCAGCGGGTTGCAAATGCAAAAATGGCAGATGATTCTCCATGTGCATGAGTTTACTGCACGATATTGTTCAAAAAATTTCCAGTAGACTTTTGTTTAAACTGGCTTCGTCAGCTCATTAATCTCGTAGTTTGTTTTCTTTGTAATGATGTTTAACAGTCTGCTAGATCTCTTCCAGAAGTTTTCATCGGCTTTTTTTGTTCTTGTTTTTTCAATATTTATTTGATTACCGCTGGTTTGTCTTGTATTTCCAGGGTTGTTTTTTATTGATACGGGTTTTCTGATGTTATAGTTTCCTTGCATGATGGGTAAGAGTAGGGCATTGTGTAGTTCGAAGTACATAGATAGAGGCAAGAGTTCTAGTTGTTTTTATCTATTGTTGTAATTTTCCCATATGCCAAGTATACAGGAGGTGGCCCGGCTTTATGGAACGCAAACCGTTCATTTTGTATTGTTATGATTACTTCCGTTTTAGTGTGAATCTTTATAGTGTATGCTAAGTGATCGGATCTGTATGACTTGTTGAATTCGTTTTGCGTGGTGTAGTTCAGTAAGACTTTTGAATTAATTGTCAAAATTATGACTGACTGTTTTTTATTGTTTTGGGATAAACACATTCCTCAAAGTAATTTTGGGAGAGAAGATTAAGGACATTCAGCTCGTAGCTGTCATTCGAGTCAATTGCCTCCCAATTCGCGATTACAAGTTTATGTCGCCTGTTATGACTAAACTATTATAATTTTCGTTTTCGCTAATCGTTATAAGTTCATTTATTAGATCGAGGATTCGTTGTTGATAAATTCGATACGGACTTTTTTCAGGAGCGTTGTATATACAGCATACTATGATTGATTCAGTTTTGGGGGTTAATTTAACTGCAACACATTCACATTGTGTTTTTATGCAGAGCGGTTTATGTGGAATATCTCTGACACCAATTAGCACACCGCCGTGTTTAGTTCTATGGTCATGTGTTGGTCTGTCGGTTCGATATATGTCGCAATAGGGTAGAAAAAGTGCATTGTCAGTGATATCACTCGTTAACCACGTCTCAGATAGACATATAACTTGGATATTACTTTAAATTGTTAAGCAGTTTGCATAGAGACTTCTACGTTTTAGTTCAAGTAAGCTGTGTATATTGTAGTTGTGTTTGGTCAGAGCTGGGTTTGATGCTAGTCAATTTAGTTCATTGTTAGTTTGGTCTAGGCTGACCCATTTATTGTTTATTTCTTCTTGTAGTACTAAGTTTCGTATACGTAGCTTTGTTGGATCATTATTTTGGTTTATAAGTTTTCGTCGTTGTATTAATAGTTTGTTCTCCAGGTCCTGTTCATCTGGAGTGAGCTCTTTGCTTACATACACTGGCTTTGAAAATGTTTTGAGTTTGCTTAATGACAAAAGAAAAAAGCATTTAACATGTTGGCTGTCTAGCTTGATAACAATAGTTCGATTTCTTCCTTCGGTATATTTTCCTATTCTTTTGAGTTTCTTACTATTGCCCTCTACTGCAAGATGTGTAATTATTGATTTTGCCTCATTGATGTCATGAGCGTATCGTTCCCGACTGTTGTTTGACCTGAGTTCTGGTATTCCGCGCAGTCTTATTCCGTCAAAAGCTTCTTTGTTAATTTGCTTTGGTTTTTGGGGTAGCTGTGTTACTTTTGGTTCAGGGGGGGGGGGGGAATTTCTCGTTATCCAAGTTTTCGTTGATAATTTCTGGTAAACCCATAAAGTGATTTGCTGGATAAAGTGATGGCTAGATGAATGGATGGATGTGATAGATGAATGACCTGATGGATGGATCGCTTGAACGACTTAAATGGACGAATCGCTGGTCGGATGGACAGATGGATTGCTAGATTGATGGGCCAATTATGAAGTGATTTGCTAGATAAAGTGATTGGCTAAAGTGATAGCAATATGCAGTCCTTCAACCTATATAGAAATTAAGGACAGACTTAACTCCAACCTTACTTGTCGCTAAAAACTTGTAAGCCAGCATTGATTTCGAAAACTCTAATCCAGTTTCTTATACAACCAATTACTCATTCCTTTTCGCAAGACGTTTGAACCTCACTGGTTTATCTTTTTCAATATTTTTTGCAATCGCAGACAAGATGGATTTGATTTTTCTTTTCTTTTCTCTTGCTTTCTTCTTTAAATCTTTCTTTCCTTCAATCGAGCCATTCTTCACTGTTTGCTTCCTTTCCTCGACTGTTTTGAATTTTAGCAACCTCCCTTCAAATGTTTACAGACATTTCTTCCTTCCTTCGAACCTTGACTCTTTCTTTGCTTCGAGTTCTTTTCGTCAATGATTGCCTCTTTCATGAACTTTTCGAATCAATCCGATAACTATTTGCGGTACTTGGAAATGAGTCGATGAACGTCAGGAAACAGAAAAGAACAATTGACTTGTTTTCTGAAAAAACTCCAAATTTAGAAGTTCAAAGTAAAAAAAATGCATGGCTTTACAACTCTTTGAATTTCAAGAACAATTCATACTGACGCTTTTTTGCAAAACTTAACTCAACTAGAGAAAACAGAATCAAAAGATATTAGAACTTTCGATACTTGAAGTCGATCATGTTTTTCGTGACCTTTGTACTTTTGTAGATGGATAGAGCAACTTACCTAAATTTTAGCAGATGAAATTGAACTCAAATAGTGCAGAAATAATATGCATGAATGCAGTTCTGTACAATATTAGAGCATTTTATGCCTTTTTTCTGAAAAAATCAAGAAACGAAAAAAAACATCACGACCTAAATAAGAGTGTGAGCTACGTTCATAGACTCCTAATAAAACTGACCCATTTATAGAAAACTTGAAACTTTCAAAATTAAAATCAACCTTCAGTCACTCGTTTTTTTTGCACCATTTGAACTTTTGTTATTCAACAGCGTAATCCATGCTTTACCAAATAAGCCGATACTGAAAAAAAAACGGAATTCGAACGGACGGAAACACGGACCCGAAAAAATTTCCATTCGACATTTTTTCGAGAATCATTTGAGAAAAAATTAACCCCGGAAACGTTCTACACTACACCTATTTACAACCTATATAAAAATAACTATTTTGAATTTGGGAAATAAATATTGACTTCAGTTTGTGCAAAATTTATTTAGCAAATAGGAACGCCGAACGATATTGATTGGTTGAAAAATGTACATCATTCCTTCCCTCCATCATGAGAACCACCTCACCAGCATTTTCTAGAACTTCTAAAAACTAGTAGTTTTTTATCTTCTGCTCGTGGTTTGAGGTAATTGAACTGCATATCGTTACCTAATTTTTTTAATGGCAATTTTAAGATTCTGATTGATAGATTCGGTGTCAGTAGCTTTTGCCACACATCCGTATGCACCTTCCCCAATGAACTCCAAGTGACAATATCTAGGTCCAACTTGAAAATTTTGTCCTCTGACGTGTTCACCGTATTGGATATTGTTGTTCATACTTCAAATCTGTAAAATTAGGAACTGAACTTAATGTTTAACCAGGAGACTAGTTTTGGCAACAATGAGGGCAAAAAAGATTCAATTTTGACATATTTAACTAGACTAGCCTGTAACGCAATTCCGGCGCTTCAACCAGATTAGTGAACATCTAATTTGCTTAAACATAAAATATAAGAAAAAACAGTGAAATCAATACAACAGTGAGAAGGTCGAAAGTATCATAGTAACCGAGGTTACAAACAGGAGTACCTTCATCACGTTATCCAGTCATATTCTAGTAAAGTATAAAGTATGAAGTGGAACGAAGTAATAAGAGAGCCAGATGGCTGGGAATCAAGCCAACTAGATTGAGAAAACTAACACTTGCACCGAATAAAGCGGAGTTGAAAAAAGACTAGCCTGTGTGCCATTCGACCACAATTACCTGAAAAAGTATGTCATGAATGGATTTTAATTCCAGTAGTTTTGGGGCGGGAAGAGCGTTACCCGCTTTTTTAGCCTCAGCAGTGTGACATCCGACCAGTATCACCATAAATGCATGTCGTCAACGAAATTTAATTCGTAACAGTTCAGTTAGAGGATTAGATATTTTAAAACGATGTGGTGTTAATCGTTGAATTGAACGAACATGGAGAGATCAATTTGGGTGGACGAACAATTTTAAAAATTTCGAAGTAGGCGTGCATGACACGTAACAATTTTAATGTTCGCGACCAATAAAATCGCGAAAATCAGAAAAAACATTTTCGGTAAAACAAACAAGACGTACAAGAAAACATGGCGAACGACAGAGTCATAGTTGAGATATTTGTTGTTGTTGTTGTTGTTGGGGATTCACAGCACTGCTGTTGGGAGTCTTGGTCCCGGCGTCTTCTCTAAAACAATGTCCACTTGTTTCTGCACGTGATACAATCACAGAATAATTGCCACGTGCACGTTGTCATTTCTGAAAATCTCTCGTTTACAAATTTCCACATCGTGTTTAAAATTCTCGTCTTGAGGCCGATTCGTTTATCAAAATGAATATATGGTTCTAATCGATTTACAATCCTACTGGTTCTGAAAACAAATTCGTTTCTCGCTTTTTCCGTTCTCACTTTTCGCATCTCAAAAATTTCTATATTTCTAGCCCGTGTGGTTCGCCTGTTTAACACTATTTCATTTCGTTCATTAGAATCAAGACTGGCAAGAAGTAAGATGTTATTTAGCTGGATGAACATGGGCAGGGGTAAAATGTTTAGCAAGCGTAGTTCGTTGATGTACACTCCCGTTTTATTTCCAGTGATCCACCGGATTGCTTTCTTTTGAACATTCCAAATTGTGATGATTGTACAGCTACAATCGTTACGGGCCGACTCCCGAGAATTCGCAGGACTATTGTGAACATCTGCTACCCTTCCTGGTTGCCAAGAAAACAGCTCTTCCACCAAATTCGAGAATCTGGAATTGTCTTAAGAATAGACTGAACACTGAATTTTAACAACTTTTCGCTTACTGGATTGTCTTGAACTGAACTTAATTACTATCCAATTCATTTTTCAGAATATGAGAAGCTAGGAGTTGGGGAAAGGGTTGATCCATCTCCGATGGATATGACGATTTTTATCTGCTGAATGAAGAACAAAAAATTAGTATTAAAAAAATAGGCATTAGCCCTATTTTGAGGAGTAACCTCGTGGTCTGAGGATACTGAGACTATTTGAGCTCACTATTTTTGCATATAACTAAGTTATTTTGCGCAATTTGGGCGATAGCCTCAAATAATTGTAAAACTCGCCCAGAACTTACACAGTGACGGAAAGTAGAAAAAAGTACCTATTGACGACTGGCTGACGTCAGTTACCTTTGTTCTACTCGTTTTTAACCGTCTTGGCCTAGCCATTTGTTTTTAGTCTGTTAGGGACCAAGTAATAAGTAACCATTTTCAGCCTTAAAAACCAAACGAGTTCCGATCAGCTTTCTATTACATGCGAAGATAATCACATAACCAAGTCTCGGATTCCAAGAAAAAATTATAACGATTAAAAAATGTCTAGAAAACCACAATTTAATATGTTTTTAGTGGCAATTTTTTACTATTTCCGTTGGAGATGGATGGAGTTTTTCTTCGATTCTAACTGCTCATGCTTTGAAATGGTAACATTCGTTTAAATACTACACAGTGACCGAGCGTAGAAAAAGCACCTCTAGACGACTGGCCGGTGTCAGTTGCCTAAGTTCTACGCGTTTTTCACCGTCTTGACCTAGCCAGTTGTTTTTCTGGTCTGTTTTGGGATATGCATAAAGTTACTCTTTTCAGGCCATCAGTCAAATGACTTTTAATCAGCTTCCGTTTGCATGTGAAGACAATCACATAGCTGGGTCTCGGATCCCCAGACTATATGATTGCTATTACAACACAGCTCGAATATCATACTTTACTATGTTTTTGGTGACAGTTCTGTATTAATTCCATTGCAGCTGGATTGACCCTTTTTTCTTTCTAGCTATTCATATTCTAAAATAAAAAAAAATACCAGTATTAATTCAAATGTTCAGGACATCAAAGTAGCAACAAAGTTGTTTTTCTATAGTCTTTCGCCATATTAGTCTCTGGGGACGAGCCTCCGCTTCCGCGCTCTTCCGGTATTAACGTCGTTATTACGCTAACCTGGTGGCACGGGAGAGTACTGCTCCTTCCTTCTTCACCACTGAAGCCTCCTTTCTGGCTAATTACTTCCGTTAAAAGTCTTATCGTGCGTGATCGTCACGATAAGAGGCTTCGCTTATTTCTGTCAATTTTCTCGACCGTCTGTCTATCGCTAATTTGGCTGTTGTTGTGTTTTTTTTCTAATTTCCGGCTAATAGTGGCCGTTTTCCCATTTCTCAGAGATGTAACGTCGCAATTCGATTCTTTCTTAAATTTTTCTTCTAGATTAATCTAGCCTCCTTCCTATCAAAATAAGACGACTAAGGCCTCTAACGTCGTTTTCGTGCTGCGACAGTAGGTTCCGCTGTGCCAAACCTGGAGAATGGCATATACTCCCCGGACAGTCCCCTTCAATGTCCCCATTGATCGCATAACGCCGGGTTATCCTTAAGAAGTGTTCCAGTTCTCTATAATTAACTTTTTAAACCGCATTAGAAAAAGAAACGTATCTACTCCATCTCAGCTCGCCATGTGTCATAAATGGCATCGTACTACATCTCACAGCCTTTCAACCTTTTCACAAAATTTGCACTATGAGGAGTGTCCTAGATAAAATTTCTTTTCTGGCTACTTACGCCATCTCTCCATAAAATTTCTTCTCGCTGTTGCTGATTAAAAAGCTAGTACGTGGCACGGCCACGCACCAGTTGAAATTAACTTAATGTCACTCACGAAGTACAATCATTCATTTATGCATTTGCCTCAATATTAAAACTAAGAAACTCTGTGGCTGGGAAAGGTAAAGATTTACTCAACCTCTTCGAGCGAGCGTACCCAAATCCTGCCACATCGCCACACAGTGAACACGTGTCTTACACAGGCTAAAAACGTCAGTCGGGTTTAAATAGGGAAATATACTCACCTATGCTCTGTATATATATGTAAATAGCACCAACTAAAACTTTTATTGTTACTCAACAATTGCAACAATTTAACAATCCTTAAAGCCTGGTTTAACTAAACTACAACAAAACAAAAAGTCTAACAGTTTCAATAATCAAGCTTAGTTGATTGATACATCTTTTAGCGCACAAAGACAATTGAGTTGCTTTCCCTCTCTTCATTTCCATCCATCGTTCCATTGCCTCTTGCTCCTGTTCTCCAGCTTCACTATCATCCAGGACTTTCTTCAACATGTCAACAGAATTGCGGGCCGTGCCTCAATTTTCCGGTTCTAGCAGCCTCGGTTTGCAACAGGGCAGTAAGTCCAGGTTTACCGTTTGCTCCCGGTTCCTGCAAAAGCTACTCGATTCACCGCTGTGGTGAAGGCGTTCCTGTGCGTCAGGAATACTCTCTTATAGGCATCCGGTCCTATATCTAGCTGGTAGGGCTGATAGGCTTCCGAGTTTCTGGAGATATGACGCTTCGCGCGTTCATAAATTCATGACATCATGACTGCCCCTAACCAAGGCATCAATCTCTGCCTCGCCTATATTCTCTCAATGGCTCTGGGTATCCTCAGAACATTGCAGGAGGTTCTGAAAAGATCCAGAGTGTTGTTATAATTCACGCTACTCAGTTGCTCAGGCGTCGGCATCGTCGTTTCCTGCTCGTTCATGCCCGCGTTGGCTTTTAACCATCTCACCACCAGCATGGCACTAACTACCGACACTGGCTGGTTTTGGTCTGGCAACCCTGTGGAGTACAACTCCTCCACGTCCCATACTAAAACCAGGTTCCCGTGCTTGGGATACCATAACATCTGCGCCAGGCAGTGACAAGGATACTCCCCATGGGTCATTAAGATGTTCCTTCGGGTCCGGTACCCTGAAGTTCCTAGTAACGGTTCCACTTCTGTCATAATTCGATGTACGTCGTCTTTTTCATCAATGGTGGTAAATTCGGTGGGTAACACTCCGCTCGCCTTCTTCTTCTGGAATTCACTCACATTACCCTCACCCAACTTCATGAAATTCTCAACCACTATTTCCTGCAAGTCGCCTTCGGATCTCTTCGGGACCGCCCGAATGATCTTCGTCAGTAAGTCATACGACTTCTCCGACATTCTGGCCAACCTCAAATATTAATTTTGGTAAGGAGAAGAGTTGGTCAACCAACACCTGCTGCGTCCTCGCATCCATCACCACCATGTGCGTAGGGTATTTACTATTGCAATATGGCGCGGAACTCGAACCCACCAGATACTTTGAGCCAGTAGGCATGTGATAAGCCTCACTGTCCTTCAGATTCATTTCATTTTCCAGAGCTTCTCGCCAGCCTCCAGTTTTCTGCTCCGTTTGCAACGCTTCAGGGAACCCTTCCACCATGAAGGACGTAACCAGCCCATGGGCAAGCTGCAACGACTCGATCGAGCTGGTCATGC